GAAGGAAGGAAGGAAGGAAGGAAGGAAGGAAGGAAGGAAGGAAGGAATTGAATCACATATTATTCTAACAAATGCATCTCACATTAAACAATTTCTACACATTCCCTCAGTCCTATAAGAACCTTAAACAGTACCTTCCACCGTTCTTTCTATTCAGCACAAGGGGAAATTTTCAAACATAAAAGAATATATGAAAATTTCCCAGAGTCACACTGACAGAAAAAGGCAAAGCACTGTTACTCCGGGGGTGGCTGAGCCCAGACCTTGTGCTCTCCAGAGTGACCACCAGGCCTTCCCACAGTACTTACAGAACCTTGGAGGTTAGGTGAGAGCATTGATTGATTTTTCAAATTTCTATCTAATGTAGATGGGGTCTGGAAAGTCATGAAGTTGCTCTGAAAATGATGCCCCTCTGGCCTCTAGACACAAAAGTCAATTTGAACCAGGTACTGAGAACTGTATAGGGTCTTTGCTACGTGTGGAGTCACGTATATCAGCATCATCTGCTATAGAAATGAGAAAGCTGATGAGCCAGTTCACACCGCAGAAGTTTGCACCCAGGCAGATGGTGCACACCTCCGCAGACAGTTCACACTGCAGCAGACGGTTTGTACTGCAGCAGACAGTTTGCACCACAGCAGACGGTGCACACCCCAGTAGACAGTTCACACTGCAGCAGATAGTTCACACCACAGCAGGTCTCACTTCACTGTGCCTCACATGCTCTCTGGCTTTAATCTGTCAGATGAAATGGTAGCCTATAGTTAGAATGGAGAGAAAAAAAGGAGAGTTCCCACCATATTTGGTGCTGTTATTCTGTGATTTACATGTATGAACTGTGATTTACATGTATGAACTTACTGTTTAGTTTTCTAACGTTGGATTTCTCCCAGTTTGCTGGCTTTTGTCCCAGTCCCCCACCCCGTGCTCCTCCCCCTGGGGAGCCTCAGGCAGGTTTGCTAACAGCACACTGTCCCATTATCCCTTCACAAATTCTATCTCAACAACTTCTGGGTGATGGCAAGCTGAATTCTTGCAGGTAATTCGGGGATATCCAGTACCCATGTAGGAAACCGGTGCAACTCCATTTGCCTGGGTTGTCACAGCAGCGCCCAGGCCGGAAAACCATCCTCTTCACATTCCCCACATAACGGGCGTCTTCTCTGCTCCATCCAGCTACTGACTGGTTGCAGTTTGCCTTAGGCAATCTGCTGCAATTTTCTGTGTCCCAATCTTATCCTCTATTACAAAAAATAAAAAAAATAAGATGGGAAATATAATGGGCTGGAAGAATTCCGATAGCAGATGCAGACAACAAATTACACAGGTAGTAATCACACAGATTAGAAAACGTAATGAACACAGTATTCAAGCTGAATGCTGGCGATAAATTTCTCAATATGATACAAGCTACTTGTTAATAAAGCAAAATAACAATTTTCTCCTTATTATAACTAAAGTCACCTCTATCTTCTGAAGGGGCACATGTCACCCAGACCTTTGGACGGAAGGGAACTGAAGCTCAGCACACACAGCACCAAATGGGCTCACGCTTGGGCTGCGTCCTTCCTGCCAACCGCTCTGCTCTGCGATTATTCATGATGGGCCGCTTTAGAAGTTTGTCCTCACGCTCCTGGGCCCTCTTGTGAAAAATGCATTATTCATGGCATGTTATGCACAGAATGGTACTGATCTGGGAGTCAGGAAACCTGGGTGTTAGCTCCAACTTCCGTTGTTCGGTGTTGGGGTCCTGACGATATGAGACGGTTGTATGAAGATTGAGTGGTCTGCTCCAGGGGTAAGGAGCGAGGAGGGCGTGTTGTCCACAGAGAATGTCAAACAATAATAAAACTGACTAACATCAGTCTGCTTTCTGTTAGCACCACGCACCCTCCGTACTTCGAAGAGATGCTCCTAGCCCTCAAATCACTGGGTCTCTGTTTGAAGGAATGCATCTTAACAAATAAATATATTAGTAAGTCCATGTGCTTCAAATTAGCACATTTCTGTTATTTAAAATAAACATATTTCACATGGAAATATATTTCTAAAACTCATGCTCATGCACACAGATGCAGCAACACGCTACACACATGTGTTACTAGAATGCCTGTGAAGGTTTGGAGCCAGGGAAGGACCTTTGAGCTCTGTCTTCGGCTCCATGGTATGACACACTCCTAAATAACGGAATTGGAATAAACAGCAATCACAGGGATTACAAAGACAAAACACAGAACTTCAGTTCATTCAAATCCGTTATTATCCGCGACAGCTTGGGAGCCTTTGCTTACAACTCCCAGGCACAAAGCAGCATGAATTGTGAGGTATGAGATTTGTGTTTGGTAAGTGTACATTTTTAGTTCCTTCATGAAATACTTTATGGAGTTTGTATGATATTTTTAGAATGAGAGTCGCCCATTTGAAGAAAATCTTTAGTTTCAAACTAAAGGGGGGAAAAAATCAATGAACAAAAAGTAGCCATTGGTTAGGGTGCATCACGTTCATCACTGAAAGTCACTGTGCTGTGTGGTGGGTGGGAAAAGTGATCTGTCAGGAGTGTTACATGTGATAAGGTTGTGCACCCACCTGTGTACAATTTGTCTCTTAGATCAGAATAGTATTCCTCAAGGAGACTCCCTATAGCACTAGGTCCCCCATGGTCCTCTACAACAGTTTCTGTATAAGTGGGAAGGACTTTCTTTCCCGTTCTTTTGGGCATTGTGTGGTTGCATTCATGGCTCTAAAACAAAACAAAACAAAAAATCTCCTCTTAGATTTCAGGAAAGCAAAACAAACAACACACACACACACACACACACACACACACACACACTAAACTCGATTGTTCCCAAGAACCTTCTCACTTGTTTTTGGAATAAGAGGAGAGTTTTGATTTTGGAGTTTGTAGAGGAGATTTGGGGAATAGTAGGTGGTATTTAGGATGTAGATGAGAGTCGGGGAGCAGTTGTTGGCATTTAAAATGAAGGCATCAACTCCCATCCAACGAGCCCTCAGGATGTACTTTGGGTTGAGCCAAAGGGTCTCAATCCCTGTTGCATGTTGAATTCTCAGGGCAGCTTATTGATAATCCCATGCCCAGGCTGCAGTCCAAACTGCAGACATCCGTGTCTGTGGATGTGAATAGAGCCTGCGTCCCTGAATCTGAATGGTAACATCCATGTCTCTGCATATGGACAGACCCTGTATCCCTGAGTCTGACCTGTAGCATCTGTGTCCCTGGGTGTGGACTGATCCTGTATCCCTGAGTCTGACCTGTAGCATCTGTGTCTTTGGGTGTGGACTGATCCTGTATCCCTGAGTCTGACTTGCCCCTAAGTCTGAGAAGGCATGAGTTCCATACCTACAGGTTCCTTCCCTATCCCACCATGAAACTCCAGAACTCTCCATCTCCGCTATAGCCCAGGCCTATGCACAACTGGAGGCAGGAAGACAAAAAGTTGCCATGACCTTGCAGCCTTGCTACACCGCAGTGTCAGGCCAAGGGCCTGTTCGAGGTCCCTGTTTCCCAGTCCACCTTGGTGACCTGAACCGGCGAGGCTGTCTGGAGCCTGTCAGAAAAGAGGATGCCATTAATAATAATAAAAAACAAATGGTGCCGTCAACCAAAACCCCAGAGAAGTTGAGAAACGGGTTATTTGTGCATGAAGATGGTGCCCAGATGCCTTGGATTGTGAGAAAAGCCAGAGAAGAGAAGACGTGCAGCTGGTCCCCCCATTTCCAGGCTGATTTGCCGATTAACCTCCTGGAATTCTGAGCAGCGGCTCGTTGAGCCTGCTCCTCACAACAGCCCACATAGGCTCTGCCTCTGGGACACCGCGCACATTAAAAAGTTAAGCCATTTATCGCAGAGTTCAGCGCTCCATCAATATCTCATTGAACAGAGAAAAACAGCTCAGCTTCAGTGAGGCAAACCTTGCAGGAAGATAAATGCTAACATTTTCTTGGAAGCCTCAGTAATTATTCAAAGGCCCACCCCCCTCATCCCACCCTTCACCCCAGGTCTCCTCTCTCTCTCTCTCTTTGGCCAGGATCTGCCCCTAACTATCCTTATTCGGCGAAATTCCCGGAACCATTTTCCGTTTCACAACCCCGTGGGCAGCACCTCCAACATCGGCGGATGATCTGTGGATTTTATCAGCAGCGGAATCGAGTTCTTGAGAACATAGCCTGGCTAGCTCTGACTTTCACAAACTGTTCCCAAACTGAGTGGCTGTTCCCGGACAACCCCTCTTGGAATGAGAGATTCGGATCCGGAGGCCACATAGTTGCTCCCGAAGGCCCTGGCGGTCCTATATCACCCTTGTCTGTAACAAGGACCTTGTTTCCCGTAACAGCTGTGGAAAGAGGTAGCGCAGAGTCAGACAAAGTTGCCCGTACCCTGGGCATGTCTGCAGTGGGCACGGGGACACGCCTCGCCAACCTACTTGCTGGACTCAGCCCTACCTCTCCGGCAGGTAATTCTACATCTGGCGTCAGTATTACGCCACCAGCTGTACCCAAAGGCAAATACTCCCTTTGGAAAGGCAGTTAGCTCTTCTAACGTCTCCCGAAAACTCTATAAAATTGACCAGTTAGAATCCTTGCATTCACCTGCCATCTTGAAATGATGTAGCATTTGAGTAGTCCCAGTATGTGTTGCCTACAACATCTTAAGAGCCATTACACAAAAGCATTTTTGTGGGGTCAGCAAGATGACTCAGTGAGTAAAGCCCTTCCGGTTCAAAGTCCTTCCGGTGCAAAACCCTTCCGGTGCAAAGCCCTGACAGACAGGGTTCAAAACTGGACCCCATGTAAAGGAAAAAGGAGAGAACAGACACCCCAAGGCTGTCCTGACCTTCCTAGTTAGTGCCTGGTGTGTGCGTGTGTGTGTGTGTGTGTATACGTGTGTGCGTGGGCACACACACATGCACACACACACGCACACACCACTGATAATTTTTTAAAAGCATTATTTTGTGAAAAATAATTTTGACAAGTCTAGGGTAAGCAAAACTTAAACAGAATTCTTATTATGGGACCTCTCAAAGCTGGGAAGCATGGAGAATATTCAGTCAGGGCTAGCAGGAGCCATTGGGATAAGCGGTTTTTGGTTTTTTTTGTTTGTTTTGGTTTTTTTTGTTTATTTGTTTGTTTACAATTTTTGATGAAATTCTTTGTATTGAAGTGTCCAGGTTGGCAACGATGCTTTAGAACCTGCGTGGAAAGCATCCTCTTTCTACACATCTGTTTCCTTGTCAGTGGAATGGGATGAAATAATAGTTCAGGGGATCACTGTGACTGGGAATGAAATGCGATTGACGCGCCCGAAGCACTTCAGGCACTGGGCACCCGTGGCCTGAGTCCTGAGTCTCACCCAACAGCTATGCAACACTGGCCATGTCTCCAGGAGCCAGAGTCCCAGCTTCCTCACCATGGAGCTACTGTGACAGTCTGGATCAGAGAGACGTTAAGGATTTCATGACTTGTAGCATGTAAATTGACCAGTAAACTTGGCATAAACTGAAATCCCCCAAACTGCTGGCCAGAACACAGCTGTTTTAGTGAGGAGCCTGTGTCTCACGGTTTGGGTGTATCTGAAACATCATAGGTGGAAGTTCATTGACTCTGAGAAAAAAGGAGTAATTTTGTCTTTAAGCCTGACAGGACCAGGTCTTAGCTCCGTCTACCCGCTCTGACGTGTTACGGTTGCACACAAAGGCTTGGGAATAGACATCGTGTTTAGATAGGTTAGATCGAGTGAAATAATCCCACCAGACAGTCTTAGAGTGGAGGCCTCATTTTTGAAGTACAAAAAAGATGAATTTGAAGAGATCAAAGCTGACCTAATTCACATTTAAATCACAGAAGATCTTTCAGCTTTGCCATTTCCCTGGCTTTTTTTTTTTAATCTAAGATTTTTGTCACTGAAGGAAAGGGAAGAGATTTCTGAAAGTTAAAGACTCAAGTGGGAAAAGCACCCACGTGTGTTGATTTAATTTCCAACGTCGCTCTTGTTAACCAGCAAGGAAGAAGCAGCGAGCCCTTAATGAGTGCAAACAAGCTAGGGGCCAGTGTGGCACTGTTTTCACCAGCGTGTTCTCAGATGGCGAGCCGTCTACTTAGCTAACCTAAGTAGCACTGTGAAAACAGGCTGAGAAAAGAGGGTTAAAGGTTGCGACATTTCAAAACTTTAGTGTTCAGCTCAACACTTTTCACAAAATTAAGCAAAAATTTCATATTTTCCTACCTTCTTTCAAACTCCTTTACTGACTCAAGAGGAAAGAAAGCTATGCCCTGTTAGAACCAGGCAACACTGAACCGTGTTCACCCAGAGCCTGAGATGAGACCTGTTTCTTATTTATTCTGAACAACTTGCCGTCTGGTAATATTTTTCTGTTCTATTTTTAATGGCTATAAAGTTTCTATCACATTCAGTAATTATCTTCAATCTCAGAAGGACGGAGGAAATTCCACAAGAAGAACTACATGAAACATCCAGGGTACAGGTGCCAGAAAATATTGTTTTGTTTAGTGGAGATGAGACTATAAAAATATGGCTCTTTATAAATGATGTTCTCAAGCTTATTTATAGACACTGTGACACTCACTCTTAAACTCCTTATTTAATTGCTAACAGAAACGTTATTTCAAAAGGGAGTCGGGGTGCTGAAAACATGGCTTAAAGCGGTATATTCTCCGGAGCAAGCTCACCGTTTCTTCCTATTAGCAGCTACAGCTACTTTGGAAAAAAGACATTGGGAGCTAATTTAAGCCACGGCACACGACAAACAAAAGCATTTTAAATTTCTCAGGGGCAAGCGTACTAGGCTACATCTTGGAGGAGACTGACTGGAGGGGTAGCAAAGAGAATTTATTGTGTGATGACCACCTCCAGTTAGCTAGTTAAAGTTAGGAGCAGAAAAGTACCGCAGCAGTTAAGAGCACAGGGGTAAACTCTGCTTGAAGGAAGTGTGTACATGTGTGTGAGAGAAAAAGAAAGAGAGAGACAGACAGACAGACAGACAGAGAGACAGAGAAAGAGAGAGACAGACAGACAGACAGACAGAGACAGAGAAAGAGAGAGAGAAACTTTGCCCAAGGTTGCATTTTTAGGTAGCTATATTAAGTGATAGTAATTATAATGCTGGGATATTATAATTACTATTGAAAGCTCAAGACATTAACCTAATGCTGTCATTCACTACCCGTGAATACGTGCATCATGGTAGAGTCAAATTGAAAGTATCTGCCACACTTACCATTCACCATGGAATCCTTGAAAGATAATTCTTTCTACTTACTAAGAATGCCCACCAAATGGACAGAAGAAAGGGAAAGTATCTTCCTGAAACGGAGAAAAATCTAAACGACAAAATACTGCACTTCACACCTACCAGAGGTGTGGACTACCTATTACAGCCTCCTTGGCTCTCTGGCTCTCAGTCGGTAAATGGAGTTAACCCCTCTGTGTTTCTTGTTCCTACTTCAGTGTAAGTTCATATGTAGTCTATCTGGGAAGGGTCCTGGAAATACCATCTCGTACACTAGGTAAACAAAAGATATTGTGAGAGCCGTGGTAGTCAGCAGTGGAGCCGGGTAGAGAAAATGACAGAGGGGCACATCAGACACTTCCTAGCAGAGTGACCTCAGATGTCTCGCTGTAATGGGTAAGGGATATGAGCGAGGCATTTCTTTGTTCCTGTCACAGGCCCTCACTGTAAGAGGCTCCCAGGTCACCCACTTCTGAATGCCTGGCAGCTGCTAAGCTGGGCTTGTCCTGAGAGGCAGACGGGACCCAGCGCAGAAGCCCGGGCTACTGAAGCAGCGGGGATGAAGGCCCTGTGACATGGTGCAGGGTGTTTTCTTCTGCTGACCTGTACAGGGGTAAGTGAAGATAACCCTCGTCACACAACATAACCCGCTTCCCTTTCCTGAGCGACTCTGGGAAATTCTGGTAAAGAGTCAAGTGTCCTGCCCGCATGAGCTGCCTGTCCTGAGGAACTTGAGTGTCAGCCCCAGCCTGGAAGGGATGCCCTGGGGTGATCTGCCCCCCAGGGACTGCTGTGGAGAACCTCCAAAGGCTTTTTTTGTTATCAGCTTGGATGAATGGCTATCTATCTCAGCTTTGTTTCTCACTAAATATTTACAGAGGGCTTATCGCCAGTTTTACCCATTTCGTGGTTTTTGCTTTCTGGCTTTAACACACAACACGTCACCTAATAAAAACTGCAGCACGTTCAAGGCACCGTGAGGAGGGCGCTGAGGCCAGTGTGGCTTTACTGGTGTTGTTTTAAGTGTCTGTGCTCCGAATTCCCTCGGAATCCATGCTGTTAACTCCCACGGATATGAACAGACCTCCCACGCCTGTAGGACCCCACTGTGTATTTATTAGGGGGCAGCTTTTGCTTCTAGACGCTGCACACCGGGCTGTATTTTTCCCCCTGGGTGCTTGCGTTCCTGACCACACTTGTTTGAAAAGATCCCCTAAAATATATGGCTAAGCTGGGCAGGCAAAACAGTCTGGGTAATCAGAGGGCATGTTTAGGAAACGCTGTTTGCAGGGGCCAGCCATGCTTTAATGAAACCTCCGAGACGATAAATAGCCGAGTCCCCTTCTCCGGGGTCATGGGTGCCGGCTGCAGTGCTGGTCGTAAAACCAAGTGGAGTCACGGTACTCAGAAGGGAGTGACAGGAAAACATCAAATGTTTGGCCGTTTGGCCTGGAAATGCTAAGCGAACAGGGGCTGAAGTTAGGCCCTTTCACTAGCACAACGAATCCTAAAACAGCCACTTCAAAGGCCTTTCAGGGGGGAAATATAAAGTTAAAATCAAAAAGAAAAATGCCTTGGTGAAGTCTGGATGGATCTCTGAAGGGAAAACATTCACTCTGTCACAAGACGTTTTCATCTAACTGTGTAAGGTCAGGATTAATTTATATTGAAACCTAATCTAGCGTTCCCTCTCTTTAGAGGGCCTCCTTTCCGAAGTCCCCACAGTACAGCTTTGTGCTAGGTGGTAATCCATTAGCCTAAAGGAAAAGCTTGCCCCCAAAGCAGGTAGATTTTAGCTGACCCCAAAGGCGGATAGAGTTTTGCCTTGTAATTCTTGCCTCTCCAGTTTTGAACAATGAACTAAATACTGTTGAAAACCAGAGTCAAACTTTTGTAGGCTACCCACTCTTACCTATATTTCTTAATAAAAATCTGACAGTGGAAAATTCTGTCTTTGCATAAAAGACTATTCAGCATTCAGTCCCCCCACCACCAACTTTCTTTAGCCACCAAAGAGAAAAAAAAAGGAAAAAGAAATCACTGATGGAGTAGCGCCACCGTCTGGACATTTTAAGGATGGCAAGCAGGTTCTTTCCCTTAAAAGATTAAGCTATTTTCACCAGCACATTTATCTTTTGGGGGAGTGGAGACTTGTTAGACTTACCTAAGTGTCTTAAGAACGTTCAAAGGAATTCTGAAGACTCCTCCCGTTGATTCATAGTGGAAAAGAATGATGCATTTCACATGGGGGATGCTGTCTGAAGAGCAAATGGACTGCCGTTTACAGCAGAGTATGGGATGAAGGGAAACAAGCCTTACACTTTACACTTAAAAGGTAGACTCGTAACTAGCTAGTGAATGTGTGTGTCACTGGACAAACCTCTGCCCTGTGGACAAGGATAATAGTCATGTCTGACCTACAGCGTGCTGGGTAGGTCAGATGCTTGGGAAGTGCTCAGCACAGTGTCTAATTGCAGCAGTGGTCAGCGATGAGAGAGATTATTAAAACTAGTATTTATTTAACTCCCTTTCAAACATACAGATGAGCAGTCGCAGCGTCGGCAGTGACTCTGAGTGCCTGGATCCTGTCCGGGACAGAAAGTTTCCACGCTTTTCTTTACGCCATGGGAACAAGAGGATCTGCCAACCTTCTGAGAAGTAGCCATCTCTCCCCGCTCCCTGCGTGCTAGGGTCTGGGCTCACAGCTGCTCAGCAACCAGCCCCAGGACTCCACGGATGAGCAGAGCTGTCTCTTTCCCTGCCCCACCCACCTGCTACCTCTGCTTTGTTCTCCGCAGGCGCCCTTGCCATGGGTGTTTACACAGCCCCATTGCCCCTGCGTCCTGCCTTGCTTTGTTTATTTAAATCTCACCTCTCCTGGAGACACAGGTCCCACCTTTTCTGAGAGTTCACCTCCTGTTCTCTTCCTTACTGCTGGTTTTGAACCTGCAAGGATTAGTATTGGCAGTGACTCCCTGACTGCCAAATTCATGAAGGGCGGGTGTAAGATGTGACTTGCCTCTGTGCCCTGGGCAGCCATGAGATGCTCACATCCCTGGTCTTCAACTCGACAATAAGAACATATGTCAGCGCCCATGTCACTACTAAGACGGTCCATCAAACATTTGGCACAAATTGAGCAAGGACTTGAAACCTGGGTTCCAGGTGTAAATTAGCAGAGAACAGCCCTTCGCAGGTTAGAGAGAGTAGGGCTTCCACTCCTGGGTGGCACCAAAAGTCTAGTGTGGCTCTAAGATGGCAGTAGGACCTCGTGTTTATAGGGCTAGTGCTTCCGCGGTTACCACTCCCCATGCCTCTGGGTACAGAAGGTGCCTGGTACAGACCGGAGATCGTCAGCCCTAAATGGCGTCTGGGCTGGGGACAGGACTGAACTAGTTACAATCCTGCTTCTAGTTCAGCCAGTGCCTTTAAGGTTTTCGGCCATCACTTTGGTCCTCCATACAATATAAATTTTGCCCCTGCCTTACCAAGTCCCTGCAGATATCAGGAATTGTCCCAGGGCGTATTTCTCAAAACAATTTTAGTTCTTTAATTTTTTTTAAATACCCTCATCAACCAGCAGAGGGCAGTGAAGGACAATCTGAGTTTTAGGTTGCCTGTCAAAGGCTTGGGGTCTAAACTGAGGGCTACAATCCCGGTTAAAGCAGCAGAATTTGATGATAACGCTTTGCGGCTATCTCTCTGTATTGCTCTTGAAATCTGAAGCAGTCTGGTCGGTGTTCTGCTCCTGCAATTTTCTCAGCACTTAACTCCTTCGTGGAGAGCATCTCAGCCCAACACCCTCAGCTGGAGAAAGGAGGGTGCTGGGTTCAGATGACGGACCAGGCAGTATTGCAGTGAGATTCAGAGCAAGAAAGGAGAGACCTGGGCCTGAAACCCACGGTTCCGGGAAGGATGGCTCACAGAGAGAAGTCTGGAGAAAACGAAGGGCATTTAGAATGTCCTGGCTGGTCTGGATGTAGGAAAGGAGACATGGCGGCCCAGTTGTGTCATGGTTGCAGTATATACAGCAAGTACTGTCTGTGTGCTTAAGACCACTTAAAACGAGAAACAGAAATGTTACAGACGCACTTCGTGATTCAGATTTTACAACTGACCCCTATGAGTCAGGGCCAAGGCCCACACTTCTAGCCCATGGACAGCCCACTCTGTACAGGGTTGAGAACAGGTGGGAGAATTCAACAGAATAAACAGAACCCTGAATAAAACTCACAACGTGGCCACCAGGGCCACACAATTCTGGAGTAAATGTGTATAAGGTGGCTCAGAAAAACTAAACAGGCAAAAGTCACAGGGAGAAGGAGTGGGAGGGGGCAACCATGGCATTTAAAGCATGGTCTAAATATTACATTCAAACCGATCAGAGGGGTGAGGCATGTGGACAAAGTGATGGAACTGTCCCAGTGTACCAGCAAAGGCTGAAAACGCTAGATTTGCAGTTAGATAGGTGTCGATTTAAATTCAGTTATTGGAAGTTTAAATTTAAACTTGAGAAAAGACATACAGTAGTGGATTATAGATGAATTTTTGACTCATCTTTGCATAGCTGATGTTAATTCATTACAATTTGAATTGGGTAATTGAACAATTCTGGTGCTTAGAAATATCTTCCTTTAACTCTTTTCTTCTCCCCCAGTTTTTGGATCCTTTCTGTGTTCCCCTGTCAAGGGTTGCTCAGAAAAACCCAACCTTTCTACTAAACAACAGCTCTGCAAATGTCTGGATCGTGGCTCTCGGGAACACAGCCCTCCCCAGTTCCTTGGTGTTCCTGCCCACCACACTGCCTACCTTCATGGTCTGACTGTTGTCATTTCACCAAAGGCCACCTCTTTTAAACAGACTTACTAAAGAGTGTCTCCAGTCACAGGCCTTAAGACAGCCACGCCTTGACTCTAACAGCTTCTGAGTCGGTGAGCATCCCTGGTCTCCCACGGTCACCCTCTGCTCGCCTGTGAGGATATCTGAGCACAGGACTGTTTTCAGACTGTGTTCTCCGTGCTGTCCTTCTGCATCAGCCTCACAGTCCGTCTTCGCCAGAGTTTCCTGAGGGTCAGATCGCCGCCACCATTTTTCTGGGGCTGACGGGACAGGGTAGAGTAAAACTTGGAGAAAAGAGTGAAATGTAAATGTGGAAATAATTTGCCCGCTTGACATTCCTACCATCTGCCAAAGGAACTAGTGAAGGATAATCCTCCCAACGTAATGCTCAACCAGACTTGGTTTTTTTGTCTTGGGGAGGTATGTTTGGGGTGTGTTTGTCTTTGTTTTGTTTCGTTTTTTAAATGAAATCACACTGGCTGCCACACAGTCTAGAGATTAGAGGTGTAGAACCTTCGTGTTCCCTAGACCTTGAGTAAGGACGTGTCCTCCACATATGAAGGACCAATGATCCAGAGCCACCTCCCTACAGGGTCAGAGACTAGAACACCCAGCTAGCGAGACTCCGGCTGCCAGGCATGTTTTGTGCCTTCGAGGTCAGGGACAGACATGGCCCACGCTAATATTTGTTAGAAAAGGTGGCAACTGTGCTCTGGCAAGCACTGGGTTCTGCCAGTGGTGAGGGACAGCAGGAAGGCATGGAGCTGAGGACCCAGGCAGGAAGGTCCAGCACCAGCCAGGATTGGCCCACTGTCATGTGATCTTGTTTGGTTTGCAGTTTGTATGTCTTACCTCACTCATCACACCACTGCTCTACTCCAGGCTTGTACAAGAAGCAAACCAAAAGTAAAGACAAACCATGGTCCAAGCAACCAGTCTATCACCATGTCTTTCCCCGCCCCTACCTCCTCACCTTCATCTCACAGATTTCAATAGCGGCCGCGGGCTCCTGGCCCCTGTCGCTATACCTCGCACCAAGTGACTGGCCTGGGCTCTGGGTTTGTGGCTGCATTTCCTAAGCCATGAAGTAAGCTCTGGAGGATGATCCTATGAGGGGACCCGAGGCAGCAGAGCGGGGATCTTAGCTGATTTCTCCCCTGACACCCTCCCCTCCCCTCCCCTCGGCCCTACCCCTGTCCCAACACTCTTCACTCTCTCCTTCAGGACAGCCTGGATTTCAGTTGAATGTCATGAAAGAAAGTTGGCCCCAGAGGTGTCTCTAAGTGTCTCTGCCCAGAACTAGAGAGAATTTTTTTTGGCAGAACTTCCAAGGTACAAGTAAGCACCTAACAGCTTTTTGGCACATCGGGGACAATTAGACATATGCACTCCCTAATCGTCTCTTGTGGTGGGGGGCGGGGGGGGCAGGCCATGTTCCCGCCATACTTCTGCTTAGTGTTGCTTGGGTTGGATTTGGGGTTTCTCCTTCCCATTCTGCCCTCGGGGCTCATGCAAGGTAGTGAAAACACAAGATATCTTTTGTCTGGGGCAAGTCTGACAAGCTAGCATTGGCAGAGGAGCAAGCTCCAGAACCCACAAGAACTGCCTGAAGGGAGTCAGGAATATTTGTGCCTGTGACCACCCCCCAAAAAAATACTTTCCATTTTATTCCAAATGTGACAAAATTGTGAGAGCCTTCTGATCAGCTCCTTTGCCATGAGACGTGAGCTCAAAGTTCCAAGTCACTGAGAATCAAGTCACAAAGGGCCTTATCCTTGCTGGGAGTGGTGACGGCTCCCAAGAGGACTCCATCCCGGCAGAGGTGAGTAGCTGCCATCTGCATAGCACTGGGTGAACCTCAACAGGGCCAGACTTGCAGAAGTCCTCAGAGGGGAGAGCTCTGAGTCGCACCTGGGTATCCTGGCCCAGGGCCTGCCACAATGGTCCTTATCACATGTGTGGCCCGATCTGCTACTCACGAGCGGCAGCACTTGGAATTGGAGGAGCAGACCTCCCCACTAGAGGCAGTTCCTCCCTATACTGCCCAGACAGAGGGAAAGCGGGGTGTCCCCATCTCTGCACAGGAGGATGGCATGCAAGTTGTCCCCCTGGTGGAGCTTGCTGACCAAAATGAGAGCTGTGATTCTGCTGGGGGGGGGGGGAATGTTTCCAAAATGAGCTACAAGTCAGTTTACACAAAGGAGAAGGAAACTCTATTAGGTTGCAATCTCTGGTTGGGAAATGTGTTTCTAAAGGGAGCTTGCGTGCCATGGAAACAAAGCCCCGAAGCCCAGTTTCAGCTTATTAGCGCTAAATTGGCCACAGCAAATGAGCTCCGCCGTTGTCAGTGACCTGAGGTTTTATAAGCACACAGGGACTGTTTGCAGACATTCTGCACGCGCCCCACAGAGCAGCTGGAGGGAGGCGGCTAAGCCTACACTGGCGTTTCCGAAGCTCAGAACAGCCATGAATCCACCCCATCAGGCACCCTCTGCACAGGAGTCTCCCAGGGGCGGAGACCTTCCTGAGATCTGTGCCTTCCCCTTGGCTTTCTTAACAGGGGAAAGACCAGCAAATAAAAAGTGCAGACGGCCAGATCTGTGGGCAGGAGCTTTCGTCTGAACCCACTGAGAGCAGATCTGGAACAGTCCTATTCTGAAAGAGAGGTCTCTGACAGAGAGGGACAAAGGCTTCTACCCTGCAGGGAAGCAGGAGAGAACAGGGGAACAGGAGAAAAAAACCAGAACAAACAAACAAACAAATACAGCCTCTTGCTCAAAGTAACAGTTTGGTGAGGATCAGATTCCATCTGTCTTTTCCGGTCCTGGGTTTTCTCTCAGTAGGTCTCACCTGTGTGGAGTCCACACACTACGGACAGAAATGGAATCATGAGCTACTTGTAGCATGAACGGAGTTAAAACCGGATCAGTCTGGAAGAGAAAATAAGATGAGAGGCGGCTCTGGGTGGGGGACAACAGAAAAGTACTGTTTGAGGGGCGAACTCAGAAGTTGTAGGATCTGAGGAGCAGAGAAGTGTCTCAGGCAGAGAGATGGTGGGCACCTGGAAAGTGGGGCAGATTTCTAAGGATGCTTCCAATGGAAGAAATCTAGGAAGCAGAGGGAAGAAGAGACAGGCAGGGTGAGCTGGTAAGTTGTGCAGCCCAGCCGGGACTCGTGTGTGGCAGTATGGATCTGGGGTGTAGACCGTGCTGATTAATTATAGTCTTGAAACTCCTCTTCCCAACTCTAAAACACTGGTCTCTCAGTTCTAGCACACTAACTATTCATGCCGCCCCATGCTAGCCCAGTTCACACACGCACACACACATGTGTGCATGCTCACATTCATGCACATATACACCATTCACGGTTTACTGTGACTGTCTTGTCTCTTTGGCTTTTTTTTCCCCAAGACAGGGTTTCTCTGTAGCTTTGGAGCCTGTCCTGGAACTCGCTCTGTAGCCCAGGCTGGCCTCAAACTCACAGAGATCCGCCTGCCTCTGCCTCCCGAGTGCTGGGATTAAAGGTGTGCACAGTCACCGCCAGGCTCTGTAACTATTCTTGACTAATTGCTCCAAAATAAATTTTTCACCCCTTTTTCCTTGTCTCACCAGGCACTCTTGGAGTATCCTGTTATATTAGTGACCCTGAATTCTACAATGAATCAAGTACCCTGTCAGACGATGGAAAATTAGATGGCATCTGCTTTGCCCCCTAAGACTGCACTTGGAGATTATGTAATAAAGGCCTCTGGAGGAGGAAGTGTGGGTAGGAACACTTGGTATCATCACTGTGGCTTTTTGCTGCCGTTCTCAACATCCTTTGGTCTTAGTCTCGAGAACGTCTGTTTATCTATACTGTGATTGCCACAAGAGACTAAATTGTGCAAACTGCCTTTGGTAAACTTTCACAATAAACAAAATTCCAACACGGTCATTCCTTGGAGGTCTGAGGAGGTCTAAGAACTGACAGCGAGTTTCGGAGAGCGAGGCATGAATCACTGTCCATGGAGTCTCTAAATTTAACCAGGACTTTAATTAGGGAGCCGGATTTACGGCACTGAGAGGAAGAGTTCAAACACTGGGAGACTTCTAGGCTGAGGTGGGGTTTTTTGTCTACCTTTCGTGTCTTTCAGTCACACCTGTCCCCCCCCCATTCCTCTCCGCCTCTCATGGTTCTGTGGGCAGTTGCTCGCCAACAGCTGTGTGTCAGGAGCGGGCGGGCGGGCATGCTGTTTACACCCCTCGAGCCAGCGTAGCTGAGCAGGATCAAGCCACATGCTCAGTGAATCTGAAGCAGGACTTCTGCCTGCACCAAGACTAGTTGAGTGCCAAGCACTATGGAGAAACCAGATTCTAAGCACCGTCCTATAGGACCCACTAAATAGACCTGCCCCCTTGCCGATCCATCAAAGTGCCGAGCTGTCGGAGACTCCGTAACTCTTTGCGAGAAGTGTGTGTTTCCCCTAAACTTACTTGTGATTAGCCAGCAAATAAGCTGCTCTCGTTGGTATCTAACTTCTTTTTCAAAACTACTCCCAGCTCCCCAACTTTGAGGTTGAAGTGTGTTAACAACGCCTGGCTTGGAAAGTCCCTGTAGGGTTTGTAAGAAATTAATGCTAGCCCCTCTCAACAGAAAGCTAAGGCTTTGCAAAACACACCATATGCTTGTCACTTTGCCAATGAATCAAGATGTTTTTGCAGCCTTCTGAGTCTACATAATTAATGGTAATGTCTAAAGATTACCCCAAGGTTCAGGGAGTGAGGATGGGGCCTCTGCGGTGTCCAACGTGACTCAACCTCAACTCAGTCCAATATTTCATGTGATAAATGGCCAGGCTTCATGACCACCCCACCCACCCAACTCCTCACGGTTGTTCGTTCACTCTTCTTTTCCCTTCCTCTTGTTTCTTATGTTAGGTTCTCTGGTTTGCTTCAAGCAAGTGTGGTTACCATTTACCCATCCTCAGACATAGCTACTTGCTCCAACTTTCTCCAGCTTCCGCAAGGATTGTCATTCTAACAGATACGCTTTAGTGTCAGCCACATGGCTGTCAAGGGACTGGCTTCCTTTCAGTACCCTCTTGACAAGCAGTTAATCTAAATCAATGAATCAAGTAATAATAAATAAAATTAAAAATAAATGAATGAATAAATAAAACAATAGCCTGACTAATTGTGGTGCTTATGGACAACATGGGTTTTTCTAAATATTTTAAAAGAACAGATAATAAGTTCTTCCTCTGTAATTCTGATATATTCATACTCGTTTTAAATAGACCTTTGCCATATGAACTCATTTTTATTCTTTATCATCTTTTGGGAAAATCAATTTCTGGTGCTCACTGTCTATTGTTGATCCATTTCTTCCCTCTCAGAACTGTCAGAATGAAGTGCTAGTCAGTTCTCAAAAGAATGGTCCATTTGTCTCCTTTTTCTTTTGTTTTTTGTTTCTTTCTTTGGTCTCACACTACAAGTAGACTTGCCTGGAACTTCCTATGTAGGCCAAGTTCCCTTGAAACTCATGGCAATCCTCCTGACTCCACATCCTGGATTCCAGTA